ATGACCCTTATTTACATCACCTTTTTTTTTTTTGGTGCCTGACCGAAAATGAGGCCGGTCTAGGACATTGATTTCATACTGTTGGTTCAACATAAAATACAACCGAACTGATAATATTTCATGCCGGACTAACAATATTTTATACCAGATTGGTGCTATGAAGACGTGGGTACAAGGTAGAGAGGGGTGTTTTGGTCATAAATTTATTAACTTTTTGACTGGAGGAAAAATGCAAAAATAATATTGGCGTTTGTGAGAGGGAGGATGTTTAAAAAGCAGAGTCAAGGGAAGTTTCATAATATTTTTGAAAAAATAATATGGAAAAGCAAGGAGAAGAAAGAAGAAAGAAGAAAGAAGAAAGAAGAAAGAGATGGATACCAAATTTTGAAAATTATTTACTTTTTAGAGAAGGTTATTAAAACACGCCTAACTTTTTTACAATTTAATAATTTATCTTTTCTTTTTTGGGTACATAATTTTACCCTTTTCTAATTATTCCAAATCATGTTCATGTGTGTTTTGATGGGTATTTTAAAATTAAAACAAAAGATATATGCAAAATGTTAGATAGTGGATTACTTACCCAAAAAAAAAAAACAGATAGCGGATCTCTCATATGAATTTTGATAAATTTTCCTATTCTTTTATTTTGATTAAGTAGTAAATAAAAAGAAAAGAGATATATAGTTGTGCATTAGAGAGTCATAGATGAAGTCGAAGAGGAGGCTGCTTATGCTTACAGGGAAGCAAAGGTGTCATGGGTTGCGTCACAATAAAAGTGAGAACGACTACTTTGTGCTTGTGTAATGACTAATTGTAGGAATTAACCAGTCCCTCTCACTCTCACATTGTAATCCGCTAACTAAAAATTGAATTAACTAATAAAATGTTATGAATATTTCTATTTTTTTCATTAAGTCAAATTGAGTTATCAACACAAATGGGCACCAAAAAATAGGTAAATTTTCAGGATTTTAGACCAATTGTCAAGTATTTAGCAAAGTCATAATCACAAATAAGGGAAATGTCATTAAATTACTAGAGCAGTCACAATATCCTAATAAAAAAATTTAATTCTTTTTTCCTTCTGGATTTAAAGGCACCTAAGTAAGTCAATTAAGTGGTTTACAACTTTTGGTCACAAAGCAAGACTGAGCAGGTTCAAAATTTGATTCAAACAAAATTGGGTACAAATCGTAGGTCCCAACCAAATCCTTTTTATTATCACCTTAATTTCTTATTTTTTTTGGAGGTATAGTGTGTAAAGAAAAGTATACAATAAGACCATTTATTTTTGGTGCATGGAGGTCACAAGTAATTTTGACAATTGGAAATGAAATTGAGCGGCTACCTTTATTCCATTGGTTAGGCTCAAAGTTCAAAAAATATTTTATTGAGCTCTTAAACACATATAAATTGTCGGATTTCATATCGGATGATTATAGGTAATTGTGGCCTCTTTGTTTCAATGGTAAATGGTCTCATAGTATATATTATCGTAATGTAATGCCATAGTTTTAATTTGGATGTGCTTTGTATAAGGCTGGGATTCGAAATCTTTATTTTTTGACGTACTCATACATCGATGTTGAGATGATCAATTAGAGGGTTTTCTAATATCAAAATAACTTTTTCCGATAGAGTTTTGAAGTGCATCTTAATTCTACATTTTAAGGTGACGATCTTATATAAACTTTTTCTTTTTAAATTTGAGAAAGTAAGAGAGTTAAATTTTGCAATATTTGAACCATTGTTTTATGCATTTCATTTGAAATTACCAAAATTTAGGCCCGAAATTCAAAATTGGAACATTGTTGTTGTTATATTAATAGTATTTTGTGGATTCTTAGAAGGTAGCGGTTGGTATAGAGTTGAGGCGCTAAATAATCAAATTAGAGCCCACCTTCAAATAGTGTCGAGAAATATGGTTTTAATATTGGAAAATTTTGTAATAGCCTTAAATTATATTTTTATCGTTAGCTATAAAATTCAAAACTTCAAAAATAGTGTAGATCGAGCCAATATATGAAAACTTGAAAATCTTGAAAAATAACGGTTCAAAAATGTGTTAAAAGATACATTATTTCTAAAACTTGAAATCTGTTGTTTCTCATATTCATGCATCTTGATGTCGAGATGATCAATTTGATGATATTTGAGTATCAAAAGTACCACTTTTTGTGAAAGTTTTGAGGTAGGCTCTTGTTTAGAGCCTAGGCTCTATATATACTTTTCCCTTCTTAAAAATCAAAGATTTTTTTTCCCCAAATTTAGAGTAAGTTTTGTTCGATCGGCTCACTGAGCCGAGCCATTTAGAGATGGAAGGAGCCAAGCAAGCCGCCTCCATCCCAGAAGGAAATCCGGATAACAAGAAATCTTCCAATAGAATCACGCCACATGGCCAATCAGGATGACTGTTTCAAATTGATAAACTTGGGCACATTCTGTTCAAGTCAAGATGACCTGATGTCCTCAATAAATATACAAATTCATTGCATGTCCATTTATACCTCTCACTTCATATTTAAAAAACAAAAAGAAAATATTGATAAAGAGCTTTAGATTTCTTACTGGTTCATTGAGGGGCTAAAAAAAAAAAATGACTTATTCAGCATCATTACATACTTGTCTATTTCTTAAGTCTCATTGAAGGTATGTCTTCAGAACTTTTGTTTAAAATTTATCAAATTACTTATATTTAAGGTTGAAAATCCTGTGTGGGTATTTTGATAATTTGGCCAACTTAATGACTCAAACCAAATTAAAAAATACTCTTTGATTGTTCAAAGTTGAGAACAAATAACTATTGAATAATTAAAATGCCTCATGTTGTTTAGGGTCGATAATATGGAAAAAAGGTATTTCCATTATTCGATAGTTTTTTGTTCTCAACGATGACAACAAAGGTGTATTTTCATAATTCAGATCGAGCTAGTTCATCCGGTCAATTTACCAAAGTACCGGTATTTGTGGACGATTTCTTGAACATGAGTAATGTGAAACTTTTTTAAGGAGGTATCTTTTCAAAATAAACTTTAAAAGTAACCTTGCAATGTGCAATGAGATCTTATTGATTTTATAAAATAATTTGAACCCTTTTATAATATTTTTCCTAAGTATTTTGGACCACGAGGTTGTTGTTGTTGCATCATTGTGTTGAATGGTGATGGAGGTTGTAGTTAGTGTTAAGATGGTTATAATTTTACCAGTAACGCATGCTCTTCCTCCATCATAAAATAATTAATTGGGTGATGATACCACATGAGTTGTAACTGCATTATCATTTTAAGATAAAGAAATAGTCTATATAAGGGTGGGTGCCATCTTAGTTGTAGCAGTAAGGATGTATTAATTTTCATTGTCCATTTATTTGAATGGTATAGATTTGATGTTGTTCCAAAAATGTGTGACTTTTTTTATATTGTCTTAAATAACCTATCAAATCCATGACATCCAACTAACGTCACGATATAGCCTTATATAAATCACAACCGAAAAATAATCATATATCTTTTAAAAAATGTGTTCATGTCAACAACCACTTTGGAAGCTCCTACAATTCGAGATTTCATGATTTAAGAAAAATAAAATGAGTAAGAAAATCAATAAAAATATTGAAGGAAAGATTCAAAACTGTAACAAACAAAGAAGAAGTAGTAAAATCCTTATTCAAAGGAGTGTAGAAAGAGTACATTCTATGCGTAAAGACTTCCAACATTTTAATTATTGTTATTATTGAGGGAAATGAACCTTTATTAACTCAAGTATGGAAATTTGTTAAAGTAAATTTAAAATATAAACTATTTAACATATTACTTACCTATTTTGATTTAATTTCAAGATATATATCAAAATACACATGATATAGAGTTTAAAGTTGGAACATTAGAAAAACATAAAATGCTAAACATATAAAAAATACGATATGTTTTAATAAAGGAAAAAGTTTAAATAGAGCTGAGGCTCTAAACAATCAAATTAGAGCCCACCTAAAAAATTTTACTAGAAGAGGTTGTTTTGATGTCCAAATATTCTTAAATTGATCATCTTAACATCAAGATGCATGAGCCTTAGAAAAAAATGGATTTCAAGATTTGAAAATAGTGCATCTTGTAATGCATTTTTGGGCCATCAATTTTCAAGATTTTCATGTTTCCATAGATTTCCTCGATCTATACTATTTAAGCTTTAAATTCCGGACTCGGTTTCTATGAGGCCAGGCCCGCATATGTAGAAATACGGGCCTATTAATAAATCTATTTTCAAGACGGATTTTTGAACTCCGTTTTCAAGGACATGTAATCTATAACATGCTCATCATGAATATGAAAAAATACATAAATTTTAAAAACTAAAAATAATAATTTCAGTAAGAAAACATTTGCATCGTTAGTTTCCATTGTTTTTAGATAGAACACCTACTTGGCATCCATCTTTTAAGATGGATGCTGTATATTTTTTGGACCACATATATAGTCATGCTTCATGAAACAATTTTCCTTAAATTCTAAATTTTTCGGCACTATTTGAAGGTGCGCTTTACTTTGATTGTTTATCGCCTCGGCTCTGTACAAACCGCACGCTTTAATAAATTTACTTAAAAGGAACAAGGACTCCCACTGTCATTGTCATATTTAACCGGTGCAATTGGACGCAAAAGTAAAAGAAAACTGTGATCAAGTACTTGTAAAAGTCCCCTAAATATCTTGGAAGAGACGAGAGTGAGCGTGCAGTGGTGACTAAGAGAGAGAAAGAAAGAGAGGAATACCGCATTATAATTTAGAGAGAGAGAGAGGGGGAGCGGAATACCGCACTATAATTTAGAGAGAGAGAGGAGGAACCTAGAGAGAGAAAATTCGCAGTCACCACGAGAGAGAAATTGTGTTGCAACATTGCGAACCAGAGAGAGAGAGATAGAGATTGAGGGAGAAAGGACGAAACCAGAGAGAGAGAGAGAGAAAGGAGGAAACCAGAGAGAGAGCGAAAGAGAGAGAGAGAGAGAGAGAGAGATTGAGGGAGAAAGGAGGAAACCAGAGAGAGAAGCTGAGTGAGGAGGAACCAGAGAGAGAGATCCAACCCACCACCATGCCTGCTCTCTCCCCTCCACTCCCCCACCCAGACCCATACCCAGACCCAGACCCAGACCCATGCCAAAGACCACTCCCACAAGCCCGAAAGGCTCGATCCAAAACCCGAAAGCCGAAATTCCTGAGCCTGGACCGAACCCACTCGCCAAACCCACCGGACTCACCACTGCATCTCTTCCCTCTCCACCCTGAAATCAACCAAGATGAACCCACCTCCTCTTCTCCCAATTTAGAAGACAACGTGGCTTGGCTCTTAGAACCAGAGCCCTCTTTTTCCAGCGAGGAAACGGCGATGAGCAGCTTATTCTCTGGCGAAATTTCAGGCGGAGACTGCCCAAACCAGGAAACCTTCGATTTTACAGAGACCATGGGGGGTAAGGATTTGGAGGCCACAGCTTTGAGGAAGAGGAGTGAGGAGAGAGAAGAGAAATGGGTTTTTTGTAAACCATGGGGAGATGAAGAGGTGAATCAGGGACTTTGTTTGAAGCTTGATTATGAGGAGATTTTGAATGCTTGGTCTGATAAGGGGTCTCTGTATATAGAGGGGGAGGGGCCTCAAACTGTGCCTCAAGAACAGCCAAATGTGAGTATTATTATGGTAATGACTTGTATAATGAGATTTGTTCATTACTTTATTGAAATTCAGCTGGGGTTCTTGGTTTGGGATATTAAATTGGGAGTAATCTTTCTCTAAATTAGAGTGTGAGGATTTCATCATCAATATTATCTTCAAATTTTTTTCTCACTTAATTGAGATAGGCTATCTGAATTGTGGTGATGTGCCATTCTTCCCATTTTTTAAATTAATTAGAGCCGGCTACGCCAATTTTCTAATTAGTCAGTCTGCTGTAATGATTTTTTTTTCATAATAATTTCAATTAACAAATTGAATTGAGTTCGGGTATATTCTCTAAGTCTCTTCTATCTAAAAACAAGAAATGGGGCACCAGGCTTGAAAAAGGTGGTCTCATTCTATTGAGAATATTGAAGTGGGATATCCTCTCTCTCTACATCTCTCTACATATGTACCTAAAAAAAATAAGTATTGATTTCGGTTTCAAGTTTGAAATGGGATGATTTCACTTTTGATAAAAAAATTTAATTTGGGGCATAAGATCTGTTTTCAAAATTGGTACTTTCTCAATCTAAAAATGTTATAGTTAAGGATAAAAATAGATTATTGTATAGTTTTCGATAGAAAAATGTTATAGTTAAGGATAAAAATAGATTATTGTATAGTTTTCGATACTAAATTACATCTCATGACAAAGTTTAGAGGGTTGCAACCTTATGCACACCACACCCTTTTGAATAACTAATTTAATTTATTCCAAGTGACTTGTTGAATATTATATATAGCTAAAAAACTAAAAATTGCTGGACATTGCCAAAAAATAATAATAATTGAACAAAGCTATATATAAAATACAAATTATGTCCTAATTAGCTAAGAAAATAATATCATGCCTATTATATTAACTTCATGTAGTTTATTGATTACATATAAGATAATTTATCTCTTATTAGATTAATTCTTATTCAAACACGCCACGATTAGGCTGTACTCTCTCTCTCTCTCTCTCTCTGTTAAATGAAGGTGTCAACTGTGAAGTACTGCTTTTTAAAACCCTTCACAAGGCCCTACTGTTTATTTGGCGCAGAGAGAGAGATAGAGAGAATTGATTAATTTTAGAGAGAGAGAGAGAGAGAGAATTGATTGTATTTAGAGAGAGAGAGAGAGAGAGAGAGAGAGAGAGAGAGAGTAGTAGTTAGTTAAGTTTAACGGTACTAACGTAACGTAACCGGTCCGTTGTCGTACTATAGTTAGGACGGTACGGGTAGGGGGTAGGTAGGTAGGGTA